AAATTATTACAAATTTAGTTATAAATGCAAACCCTCTTCAAATCAGTCTACATATAGGAGAGAAAAAATTCTGTAGGTTAAATGAAGGTAAAAAATGAGTTTTTATTTCCCAACAATTTATATAACATCAACTTTATAAATATACAAGTATCAAAATATCCATTTGTAAATTATAAACTACCGCCTTATTACAGTTAAAAGAAGAGCACAAGGCTTTGCCCTATTTACATACCATGATTTTCGAATGATAACAAACTTGTATCCTGTAAATGTCAAAAGTGTAACTTGTTCAGAAAAAGCATTATAACATGTCACAACATTGCATCACATATCAAGCAACAGTGGAACGTCTAGTGTCGGAATTCTAGCCCACCAGTCATTGTTGCTATCATCCTTAAACAAGGACTCTGTTTCAGAAGGACACTTCTCGAATTGCCTTATTGATATATGATTGCAATTGTATTCAAGTTTCAATTTATCTTCCACCATCCATTTCAAAATGGAAGCATCCTCATCTATCTCGTCTGCAGCAAAACCTCCAATCAGGGCATGCTCACCTTTCTGAACAGTGGGTGCCCGTTTCCGTTTCCGTTTCCGTTTCCTACTGCACTTCTTTACTTGCTTTTGTGCGGAACTATGTGACTTTTTATTTGAGCCATTATCTGATGGCAAGGCTGCCTCGGTGGTCAGCTGTGCTTTGGCACTGTCATCATAGGAAAATGATACTTTGTCATCATTGCTATCATTCTTAAGCAAAGACTCCGTTTCAAAAGGAAGCGTTTCAAGTTGGCTTATTGATTTAGGATTGCAATCAAATTCAAGTTTTGATTCATCCTTCAGCATACATTTCGAAATAAAAGCATCCTTATCCATCTTGTCTGCACAGAAACCTCCAACCAGGGCATGCTCACCTTTCTGAACAGTGGGCGCCCGTTTCTGTTTCCTACTGCACTTCTTTGCTTGCTTTTGTGCGGAACTACGCGACTTTTTATTTGAGGCATTATCTGATGGCAAGGCTGCCTTGGTGGCCAGCTGTGCTTTGGCACTGTCATCATAGGNGTTTCCTACTGCACTTCTTTACTTGCTTTTGTGCGGAACTATGTGACTTTTTATTTGAGCCATTATCTGATGGCAAGGCTGCCTCGGTGGTCAGCTGTGCTTTGGCACTGTCATCACAGGAAAATGATACTTTGTCATCATTGCTATCATTCTTAAGCAAAGACTCCGTTTCAAAAGGAAGCGTTTCAAGTTGGCTTATTGATTTAGGATTGCAATCAAATTCAAGTTTTGGTTCATCCTTCAGCATACATTTCGAAATAAAAGCATCCTTATCCATCTTGTCTGTACAGAAACCTCCAACCAGGGCATCCTCACCTTTCTGAACAGTGGGCACCCGTTTCTGTTTCCTGCTGCACTTCTTTACTTGCTTTTGTGCGGAACTATGTG